GTGCATTGCCCATCAGCAACATCTTCCTATTTATATAAAACTGTACTACTTGCTCATTCATCTCAAGGCCATTCGGTTGGACTTGATGATCTTAAAGGTCTTTGCCAACCTAAATGATTCTATGATTCATTCACAAACAGAAGCTGTGCTAAATGTTTCCTTTATCCAAGAAGTAAAAAAAAAAAAAAAAAATTGCCCTGTGACACCACAGAAAAAGGAATGGACACCTATAAATACATCCTCACAAGATGAAAAATTTTCTAAGTCTGTAAAAATTGTCATAGTTTCAGTTTTTCCTGTTAACAGCAGGGCTAACCAGGTTTTCACCTGTTGTGCATCCCAGCTGTGTGCTGAACAGGCTGCACAGTTGCTCACTGTTGATGTTGACAATCAAACAGTTAGCGGGCCAGGAAGTGGAACAAGCTTCAACGGGGGAGACCGAGAGCCAGTCTCAGCCTAGCTGGGGAGGTTATAGCTCTCCCTGTCGGCTGCTCCCTTGTTTCACCAAATCAGCCTGTTCTGGGGGGAAATAATTTGCCAAAAAGGTCACACATGGACACGTCTCCCCTCTGCTCTGGCAGGTCCCAAGGTCTCCTTGGAGCAGTTTGTCAACAAGCTTTCCAAGCCCTTGAAACAAGGAGGAGAAGTGATCAGTGTCCGAGGCTCAACCAGAGCAGCACAGCAGGTATGAGTAGACCCCCCAGACACCCACAGGATGAGGCCGACAGCAATTCCCTGAGCTTGGTGCCCTGCACAGCACCGGCACCCCCTCCTCAGGCCTCTCAGCTCTGCATAACCTCCTCCTCCTGGAGAGGCTCCACCAGAGCACACGTGGTTCCTGGGCTTTCCTGGCACTGGTTGCTCTCCGTGCAGAGCAGGCAGTGGTGACGCTCACCTGGTTTGGTTTCAGGGCTCTGGTGGGGTGCGGAGCAGAAAAGAGATCCCGGTGGAGACACCCAAGCTGTCTGCCCTGGAGAGGTACAGGCACGGCCCCTCCATCCCTGCCCTGTCAGGCTCTCATCTTCCTCCTATTTTATCACTGAGGGCTTACTTCAGGGATTTCAGTTGAGGAAGTAAATGGACTTGCCCCTTTTATGTTATACCTTAGAAAGAATTAGGAAAAAAAGGTCAACTTTGGTCTTTTAGGAAGACCACCGAGTTGTTCATGGTGAACCTGCCATCTTTTACATCTCTAACAAAAGCTTCTGTTGTTCAAAATATTACTTCCTTATTGCTGCGGAATACTTTTCCCGACAACAAGCCAAGGCCTAAGAGTTTGAAACCATCTAAGAAGCTGTTTGTGGTCATGTTAAATGGGAGAATTCCTCCAGGAAACTGATGCCCGAGTGGGATGTCACACTAACAGCACTTTTCCACTCATAGTCTTCTGGCAAGACAAGACCCAAATAGCTAATGAAAAAACCCCAAGCAGATTATTTTTAATCAAAAAAGTAGGGCAAAGTACTTACCAGACAGCCCTGATCTAAAATGAAAAAGCTAAAAAAGGTCAGCAACCCTCTTTCCAAGGGACCTTTAAGCAGTGAAAGCAAAGCAGCAGTTTGGTCTGTGGGTTGATCTGCTCGCCCACAGTCAGATGGGGCCTCGTTCACCTCAAGGACATTCCCAAACGTGAAACACCTCTCCCCCGTTCAGATCACCCTGGCAGCCCAGAGGCTCTGCTGGTTGAGTAGAGCACGGCCTCTGCCGCCAGCAGAGCCCTCGCTCCTCAGCTGACGAGGTTTTCTAACCTCCAGGGTGAAGAGAGCTGAAGAGGCTGAAGCTTCTGCCCCTGATGTCTGCACTCTCCGCATCAAATCTGAGAGTGGGGAGCAGACGTACGTTGTAAAGATGCTGTTCACGGACACCATAGGGGACCTGCGCCAACACCTCGCCCACGCCAGGTAGGCCTACGGCTTCCTCCCCTCCTCGCTCCCCACCCAGCTCCGTCAAGCCCCAGGGAAGGTTTCTCAGCTGCCGCTCAAGGCCCTGGAGTTGTGCTTCAAACATCAGCCTGAGCTGAGCAGGGCTGAGGGTTACAGCCCCAGCCCCAGGAGCTGCTGGGCACCCTGTGCTGCTTTCGCTCCACCACCAGAGATGCTCTCTGGGCAGCACTGCCAGGGTCGCGCTTAGCTCAGAGCATTTCATACACACCTTTGCCAAAAAACTGACACAGCAGCAGAGATAAGCCTCTTTCATCCTCTCAAAATCGCCATCTGACCCAGGTCCATCGCTGCCTTTGCCTCCTTCCAGCTGCTCAGCAGCACTCACCTGACTATCGCCACCATTCCCAAGGTGTTGCTGCAGCCTGGATGCTGAGCTGCAGCCTTCAGCTTGGCTGATGGATCCGCTGCTGGACAAACACCACCCTTTGCTCAGCCAGCTCTATATCCCAACGCATTTAGTACTGCCCAAGGGCTCACACATCCCTTTGGGGACAGTTCCAGATTGCTGAGGGGACCCCTTTGTTCTCCCCTCTTCCCACTCCTGCTGTAGGCTGTAGCTCTGGCCTCGGTCTGAGCCCATGATGAGCTCACTGCCGTTGGGACGCAAGAGCCTCCTTCCCCACTGCAGCTGCGCAGCCTGGAATGGCCGCCCTGTGCCTGGCTGTTTGCAGTTTGGGCGGGAAGCCCTTTTTTCTGCTCAGCCTGTGCTTATGAAACAGTCTCTCCCTCTGCTCTTACATAACCGCAGCTGGATCAGCCAGAGCATCTCAGCAAAACCTTGGGGGATCCTGTGAGTAGGAAAGATTGTGCTGTTCTTTCCTAGGGGTGGAGACTCTGGCTCATATGAGATCATCAGTACCTTTCCCCAGAGGGTGTACACGGACAACTCCAGAAGTCTGCAGGAATGTGGCCTGATCCCCAATGCCTCCTTGCTGCTGCGGAGAAGAGACCCCTCCCAACAAGAGGGGACAGGGCTGCAAACAACTTAACAGCTCCTAGCAAGAGCTGCTCGCCCCAAGCTCTGCAAGAGGAAGGAGCTGCCTTGCACCGTTAGCTGTGTTATAATCTCCCCTGGCTGGGAAGAGAGGATAAGGGTGTCTTTCCAGATTTAATTTCATTGCGCCGTTACCTGGGATGGAGAGAAGAGCTCAGAGGCAGCGGTTTGGCCTCTCCCTTCCACAGAGGGTGCCAGGCCCAGTCGTGCCGCCTTGCGGGTGGATGCTTTTCCCCAAGGCAGGTGGGCTCCTAACGCAGGGGCATTTCTGTCAGCTCAGACCCGAGGCCTGGTTTCTCATCTCTGCTGAAGGTTACACAGGCTGATCCCTGCCCAGGGAAGGCCGCCAGCTTTACATGGGTACTGGGCAGTTGCTTAGCTGGGCTCAGGGATTCTCTATAGCAGCAGGACAGACAAACAGGGTCAATTTGCTTTCCACACACAGCTGCTCCCCAGAGATTTCAACTGCACTTACACCACGAGAGAAACAGGCTCAGTTATATGGTCCTTCGTGAAGCTAAACCAAGAGGCCTTGAGCAATTGCAATGCTGGGACTGAGCCAGACTCATCTCAGCCAGGGGATCCTGCTACTGGGTTTCCTGTACGTGAACAACTCCTTCCCTTGGACAGCCCCCAGCTCCAGCGGGGCCCACGCTCGCAGCCACGCCGAGCCCGCCTGCAACGGCCCCGAGCCACCAGCCTCCCTCCCTCCCTCGGCAGCCTGCTGCAGCCGGGAGCTGGATGCTGCAACAGGACACCGTGTCACTGGAGAAGAGCATAATCCCCTCGCTGCCTCTCTGCTGACCCCTGAGCAAAGCATCTTCCTCCCTCGCCCGTGGGCTGGGGCTGCACTTTGCAGGCCCCTTTCCCCAGCACATTCTTCCCATTTCAGCTGTGACAAGCTCCCACTTGACTCCCAGCTGACAACACTCCCACTCACGCTAGGCAGTGCCTTCTGGCAGGCTCCCTTTTAGCAGAGGCCCTGCACACACTGCCACCCAGCCCTCATTAAAGGCTCCCAATAAAACCATTTATTTAAGTTGCAGTTTCCACTTCCATCAAGATTTCAGAGGCGCGGTTGCCGTGGAAGGGGGCAGGATGCCCAGAGCACTTCCCGGACCCCTCCGACCAGAGCTGGACCCTGCACAACTCAAATACAGGAAGCACCACTCATGCAAACCAGCCGCTTCCACGGGCTCGCCGTGACCAGTGACTCAATCCCCACAGCTCTAAGTTAGCTTCCTCCTTTTTCCACCTATAGCACATATAGGGGACCCTCCTACAGGGCAGCCTTTTCCACCCCCTCTTATTCCATCTTTGTGCCAGGGGTTTGTTTTTCGCTCATGTGTCTGGCTGAAGCTGTCCCTCCCCCAGGCTGTCGTTCTCACCACGCAGAGGAGAGGAATGCTTGAGAGAGGTACCTGTCACTACCGCGCTGTAGGATATTCAGACAAGTCCTGTCAGCCTTTGATTAGCAGCAGCAATCTAGAGGTGTTAAGATCTTTGTGTCACGCTGCAGCAGTGAGTACAACTGACTCAGCTTCTCTGAGCTGGAAAGAACTCAGAATCATTACATAGGGTGATGTTTAAACCTGTAGTGAAAATAAAACCAAATTTAAAAGAAACCCACAAGTACTGATGTGAAAGGTACAGTAACATTTAATAGCATCTCTGAAGACAACACTGGTTATAAACTTGCTTTTTGGCAGGAAAACAAAATGCACTTGGTCCAGGTTGCAAAAAAGCCAACTCAAAGAGGAAAGATAAGACAGCTGGAGCATCAGCTGTTCTGGAGCAGCCCTGAGCCATTAACGCTCACGAGGGAGCCCTGGCACCGCATCGCGGCGGAGGGCAGACGGAGCAGCGCGGGTCCCACTTCTAGGCCCATCCATCCCCGCAGGCAGCCTGCCAAGCAACACCGGCCTTCACCCCCAGCCCCGGCCTTCTCCGCGCTGGGTGGTCAGACCCCAGCTTCGTGCAGTATTTTTGCATTAAAACAAAACAAACAAAAATCAACTTAGTTGCCATAATCTCTGCAGTTGAGATGAAGAAAAAAAAATTTAAAAATAAAGGAAGTGAGGCAGCAGGATTTACAATTTTAACAGCAACTGGGAGAAGTGGGAAGTAACATGCAACCCTAAGCCCTTCCCTCCTGAAGCAGAAGCTCTCCCTGCAGAGGAGAGGGCCGGCAGATGGCTGCACTTCGCACAGCCCCAGAGGTTTTGCTGTTTACAGAGGCACTGGAAGCTGCGGTGTGAGCCAGACCCAGCTTTGTTCAAAGGCCATGCGCAGCGAGCGTCAGACTTTCTTTGGATCCCTCTGAGATGATATTAGGGTTAGGCAGGAGGGAATCGTAGGCAGCTGCAATGAGTAGTTTTGGTCATGGGATTCCCTATGCTGGGATAAAGGTCACGGTGCCAGGACAGCGCTGACAACCTGGAAGTGAAGGTGGTCGGAGATGAGGGTGCTCAGGAATGCAGGTAGAGTCCAGGATGGGAGGGGAGCCCAGGGCTCAGGCCAGCTTCAGGAACTCCTGCAGGGTGTTTTGCTCCACCGCTTCCACAAAGAGCTCATAATCCTGCAGGGAAAAGCCACACGGTCGCTCACAAGGCAAGAGTGAGCTGCACACTTCCACCGGTCAGGCAGCACGGGGTCCCCTGAGCGCACAGCACAAACTGGTTCACAACATGGGTGACAGTCACGTAGAGGACGACAGGGAGAAGCGGGGACAGCCCCGCACAGCGCAGCCCCGCTGCCCACAGTCACCCAGTATCCCCCTGCCTGGGTCCCAGTTTTCACAAGCCACCGTGCTCCAAATGCCCGTTAACGCTGGCAGCGCCTTGTCCGTGCACCTCACGCAAAATGCCTTTTGAAAGGCGTCTGACACCGTTTGTAGCAAAAACAAGAGGACGGGATTATTGCCCACCACCCAACCTCCATGGTGCTTATCCCCAGCACAGAGCACGAGCCTTACCCCGCAGTAGTGGTCTCCGTTGACGATCTGGGGTGGGATGGCTTTGGGGTTGCCTGCCTTCGCCCTCATCTCCTCCCGGAGAGCGTTGTCCTGGGAGATATCCACCAGCTCGTACTTGATGTTTTTCCCATCAAGGATTCTGGTTACTTCACTCTGCTGGGATTTGATCTGGAACCCGGGCGGGAAAGGCAGGTTATGGGGAGCTGAAGAGGAGCCCGAAGGGCGGGCACGC